CTCTCTCTCTCTCTCTCTCTCTCTCTCTCTCTTTTTTTCTGTATTTTTATTAAAAATTTTAGAGAAAGAATATGAACAAAAAAAAATAAAATAAAAAGGTATTAAAAGAATAATACACAAACAGTAAAATACAAATATGGTAAGTAAACAAGGGATCAAGAATGTCATGGAAGTTTCACTTTTCCAAATTATCATTAATTACTCATGAATTATAAAGTACATTAGATCACTTTAAGAAAACTAGGAATCTCTGTTGTTTCAGTTAAAATTAGAACTCCCCCCAAAGTAGAAATTTTTGGCCTTGTTCAGATTTGGCCAAGTTAGTAATGCTAAGATAAGCGCAACATTCATGAACATGATTTATGGCTAACCTTCGTTCTCAATTGTCCTTCCACCTATAGCTTCTTTAACTGTATTAATTTTTAATTAATCTGAATTTTTAATTGTTTTAGTCTGGGCTGCCTGTGGGGTTGTATGTTTTAAATTGTTTTTATTGCTTTGTATTTGTATTTGTAAGCAGCCTCGGATCTATGGGAGTGGGTGGCTATAATAAATTTCAAACAACAGCAACAACTAATCTATCATTTATTGTGGCAGGCGGGGAATCTGCCAGTCCTGGTATTCTTCCACAACAGCATCGATGCTGATGATCAGGCAAAAAAGACAGTCCTTGATGGTTCCTACTTAGCCGGAGTTGGCAATCTCATTGTCGTAACTGCAAGTTACCGAGTTGGAGTTTTTGGCTTTTTTAGCACTGGTAAGTTGTAACCTCAGTTTGCAACCAGGACTTTTTAATGATGAAACCAGAATTATTCCAATTGGGTCTCGTGGATAAGGAATTAGGAAAGAAATATGGGAAATTAATATTGTACATGGCAGCTGCAGGGAGATTATTGTATGCAAGAAGTTGGAAAAGCAATGAAATACCTACAGTGGAAGATGGATTATAAAGTTAACTGAGCTTGCAGAAATGGGGAAGCCGTCCAGCTTGGTCAGAGAAAAACCGGCAAAGATCTTTTTAAAAGAATGGAAACATTACATGGATTTTTTTTTTTTTTTGGAAGAAGAAAAGATCAAATTGATGATTTTAGGATTTGGGGACTGAAAAAACATGAAGAGGATGGGGAAAAGGTTAAGATGATAATTACTCGATAGAGTGAAGAGTGGAAGGCATAATTCTATGTTTTATTTTTTGTCATTCCTTTCTGTATTCTTTTTTCTTACTTTCTCTCTTTTTGTTTGTTCATTTTTACTGCATTGAAAAATTACATAAACCAGGACTTGGCAGAAAATGCAGCTTGTGTTGGACATGCTTGGATTCTTGCTTACGAAATGGATTTTGGTTTGGGGAAGGCTTCGAGAGGTATCCATAGGGTACGATCTAAAAAGGCAATATGGCAGCTGTGATAGTACAATCAAAGGTCCGCTTGTTTTTTATGTGCATCCATCAAATGCACAGAGATACTTCTGTTGGTCCCTTGGCCCAATCACTTCTTCTGTCTCCTGCAACTGAACACTATTTTTCCCAAGTCAGATGGGATGAGTTCATACAACAGCCTTAACAAGATCAGTTCCATTTTTCTTTTCTTTTCCTTTTTTTTTTTTAGCATGAGGTGAAAACTCGATCCACTTGCTAGGTCAGTGTATTTGTGCAAACCCAGAAAATGGCTGAATTAAGTAACTATGTCAGCAGCCATTGAACTGACTTTCAGGCAAACTATTTTCTCAGTGAATTGTCCTGAGTGATTGGTACAACATGGTGCATTTAATGTTGGATCAGGCTGCTGTGTGAGCCCATTTTAATGTGTCGAATGTCAGTTGCCGTTAGTGTGATGTGTTTTTGTTGATTTTGGTTATATTTTGACATTTTTAACCCTTCGTTAGCTGCCCAGAGGCACATGGCCAGTGGGAGCAATATAAACCAAAATAATAAATTTCAAAAAATTATACAATCCAGCACATTTATTGTGTGACTCTATATTTGTCTTTTGGGATCCCACATCAACAGCATACTCCCAGTTTCTGCAAGGTAGCACTTAAAAGTTTCCACATATATCACAGTATAAAATATAGTTTCACCTTGGTACTTTAAGGGATATTTGAATGGCAGGCCTCGCTGGTAGAATACCATCCATTTTAATTTTCCATAATGTCCCAAAGGAGTGCTGCTATGCCTCAGTTGTGCTGAAAAATTGCAGCATATTTTTAAGTAGTAGCTCATAGCCAGTTAGAACAGACCTCATTCCTTGTGGTGTGTCAGCTCTACAAAGTAGACCAGACTAAGAAACCCATGCCATATAGGTCAGGACTATTTTTATTGTAACAGCTATAGTACCAGAATCTTGCAAGTCTGAATGTGCTTCCCCTTTCCCCACTTTATCTTTGTGTGAACTAGGGAGGGGTTTGTCTGAGACTTTTTCTCAAGTTACTTTCTTGGCCCGGGCTCAAGCTCCTCTTATCCAGCCATTGCTTTAGTAGCCATTCTTCCTGTTGTCCTTCAAGGCCATTCCCTCTAGCCTCTGCATGGTGTCAGGCCAGATGCTGAAGTTCTGGCATATACTCCATCTTGCTGGATCATGACTCTGACCCACTTATCAGGAAGCCAGATTTTTTTTAAAGGAAAAAAGTGCTAAATCGCTTATGCATTTTCACGAGATTTTCCATTAGAGTCAGTGGAGAGAAAATGTGGCAGCAACGTGCTGTGCTTCAGCTCCTTTTTTCTTTCATTGCCTTTTCTTTCCTGCCAAGTTCAGCACATGTGCTCATTTTCTAGAATGCCCTAGATTCGGTTCAGAGCTGATGTGCTGCCCCACCTCAGAGGTAAACCCAGATCTAATCTCTGTAAGCTGAGAGGCTAGAATAGATCCTACTTACTCAGATGATGTCGTTGTTTTTCACTCTTCCTTTTGAAGCCTTCTGAGGAATTTCTTATTTCTTCTTTCTTACTATACCCTTTTGTTAAAGAACATGTGCCAATAAGTTTAATAAGCTTAGTATAAGGATAACATGAAGAGAGACATAGAGAGAGATTGGTTTCAAAGGCTATAGAAGGATGTCCCCAACAAAGGTGGGGATAACATGTCTGATTTAGGTTTCTCTTTATTTTTAGGAAGAGTGGGGGATCTTTTCATTAAAAAAATGGGTTATTCATCCTAAAAGAAAGAGAAAGACACCATTGAGTCAAGTTTGATTCCTGGTAACTATGGACATGTCTATGTTGGTTTCTTGACAATATTATGGAGGTAGCCTATCATTCTCTTCTCCAGGGATATTTTTTTCAACTTCCTACAACTGAACAACAACAACAACAACCCTAGCCTATAGCCCTGGGAAGTCCTGGTGGTCTTCAGTTAAAGTACTAACCAGGTTGGACCCTGATAATCTTTGAAGATCCATCAGGGTCAGCTTGGCAGTATTTGCAGTGGCTTAATGCATGTAATTTAATCCTCTCCTCCCTCATCCAAAAAATGAAAAATGAACCTACCATAAATCAATGGTTTATCAGTCAACTGTGATAGTATAAACTTGGGAGAGGGTCTGGAGGCCATAAAAATGAAAATGGAGATCAGATGGGGCCTACAGACCATAAATTGTCAGTCCTTGATTCACATTGACTGTTAGCAGCTTTTCAGAACGTGCCCAGAATCATTCCCAATCTTCCCTATAGATGCCAGGGCTCTACTGGCATTGGTTTTCCATAGCAGGAGAAATTTTTTGCAGTACTTCATAAGGTCAAAAGACTGCAGAGAAGGGATGATCTTCCCTCATTCATCATAGTTTCCTCTTATATGTCTACCCCTAAATTAAATTGGGGAGAGTATGAAGGGAGATATTGTGCGCTTACATATTTTTGTATGCCATGTTATATCAAACATTGATTTGTTGTTTCTCCAATGCACGTGGCATGCACAGAATGACTTCTCTGCCTTTTTCATTTAAATTAATGACTCCAGTGGAATGGCCTGTAGAGAAATGAAGGAGTTGCAATATCTAGATATCTAGATGCAATATCTCTCCCTGCCAAGATTTAACTTGTAAAGCAATCAATAAGCTGGATGTTTGTAGATGATGAGATTCTCATAGTGTATACATCTGGAGGGCCCCAAGATGGCCACAGCTGGTCTAGAGTTTGCCAGAGGAGGCTGGAGTTTGGAACACCATGTTGCAAATGTATGGCCTTCTTTGCTAGTATTTTCATGGTAGATCACACGTCTCCTCATAATACCATAGACTAGTCTGGGAAGACCTCCAACTTTTTCCCCAAGTACAGGCAGCATTTTACCAGGGGACAGAAATCAGAAAATTTATTTGGATAGATCAAGCTTGGAGTTAATAAAATAAAATAAACTTGGAAAAGTTTCATAGTTGATAGAAATGGAGAACTATACGGAGAGAAAAAAGCATTCTGCTGTTCCTGTTACAAAAGTCAGGGCCTTGCAGATAGTGAATATTACTTAATATTACTTAGGCCACAATGGTCGGGGGAATAATTAATGTTCAAGATATGTCATCTCAGCATCCAAACATAAGTCACATGCTCCAAAGACCTGGATGAAAACAGATGTTGCAGAATAAACAGTGAACAGAGATAAAAGCTAGTGTATGATATCCTTCCCATTTCAGTGGGATTACCATTCAACTATTTTAAAGTGACCTAAAATTAGAGTTAAAAGCTTTTTGCTTCAGAACAGTGATCTAAAAGCAATGTAACAGCAGGATCATCCTAAGGAATTTCATCCCAGCACAATGTGCTTTGTTACTGCATGATAGTGATTGTACTCTGTGGTTAACAATCTTAATGACTGTTGCAAAGGATGGTCTAGCCAGTCACTGTTGGCAGAAATCTGCTTCAGCCCAAGATTTGGCTCCAGAGTTGAAACATGGTTCCTTCCTGCCCTTAAGAAGCTTTTTCTAACGTTCAGTCAGTTTGCCTTTTCATAACTTAGCTTTCTATAACTTCAGACCATTATTCCCTGTGTCCAACCTTGTGATCATAACTGTCCAAAACACACAGGAACAGAAATGCCTAAGGACAGAGTAGGAGCTAAGACAGTCTTCTTTCAACTGGTTGTCCTCCTGGAAATTCTTGATCTTCTAAGTGACCTCCTTTCTTTCCAGCTGAAGTGCTGCAAATTATTTTTATCACTTGTGCCAATGTACATGCCATTTCTTCCCTCCCTCCCTCCCTCCTTCCTTCCATTTATTTATCTGTTTGTTTGTGTAGGTTCCAGTGTCGCAAATGGAAATTGGGGTCTTTTGGATCAGGAAATGGCTCTAAAATGGATACAGAAGAACATTGCAATGTTTGGAGGAGACGCAGGACAGATAACGATTGGAGCTAATGAGAGGGGAGCGGACTTTATCAGCACTCACCTCCTTAAGAGAGCTTTGAATCCAATCCTCTTCAAGAGGGCACTATTGATGGTAAGTCCTATTTATTTTCAGATGAATAAGTATGTTGCAACTGAGATGGGCATGAAAAATAAGAATTCAGACATGTGTGTAAAAAAAAGTGTTCAATTGTTTAAAATATTTTAATATCATGAGAGATGTATATACATAAACACACCCACACCCACACATACATACATGTGCACGCATTTTCCAGTTTCATCAGAGGATCATACATTAATAAAGTTCATATCTTACAAAGGACCCCCATCTGTATAAATAAATATAAATATGGATATATTTGGGCATCTGTGAGATTGAAGATGAGATCTTCATTATCTAGAAATGATGTTGATGGTATTTCCAAGAGTGCAGAAAGATCCATCAAAGTGCTAATTCAGTTCCATCCTGGTAACTCCCAAGCTGGTTTTCTCAGATTCAGTCCTCATGATACATGAGATTGGGTTGGGGTGGGTGCTGGCTCCGATATATCATAGATTGGGTTTTCTTGGCCTTCTTTCGCACGAAAGAAGGATCTTCTTCCATAGTTAGGGCAAGGTAAGAAGCGATGCTGTTTCGGAGACCGTAGCTGAGGCCAGAGTCTTCCAATCTGAGCATGTCTACAATGTCATCGTCACACTCCTTTGGCCTTAGGGGAAAAGAAAGTGGCATAAAACTTCTGGATACAGAATAGAGTATTTCACTAGCTGTTTTGTTTAATGCTTCGCTAGATCGGTGGAAAACAGTAATAGGAGAAAGGCAGGTGGAATTTATCCAACTTCTTTGGGTTAACACAGTTGCCTGCTTCCGCCTGCTTCGTCCATATATGTTTGCTTTCTTTTACAGATTGATTCCCTACTTTCTTTTCTTTGTTTTTTTGAAAGCAATCTTTTTTACCTCTCCATGACTTCAGAGGAATAAACAGGTCACAAAATGCAAATTCCACAACTCCCCTTTCTGGCCTATATCCAGCACTTAGCAATCCTTTGAACAGGAAGCTTTCTATGCCTAGTTATAAGGACACGCATGTGTGACCCCAACCTCTTCTGGTTAACTTCCAAGGTGACCAGTGCCATCTGGCATACATCTCACTTAAATTAAGTCCTGACTGGCTCCAAAGCATTGTACAAGGCCTGGTACTAAGCAAGCTTGTGTTTATCATGTTGAATAGTTTATTTCCATTACAGAATTGAGAATTTAGGACTGTCCCACCTCAGACCTTTGTTCTACTTCCAGTTTGAAATAGATTATATCCAAAATCTCTTATCTCAGGCAAAAAGTACCTTTGCGTATGATTCCACCTGAATTTGTTACGCATCACCACGGGGGGCTCTTGATTCCTTCCTTCGTGCATGCTGGTGTGCTGGGTGAGGCAAGGCGTTGTGAGAACACAGCACAGGCCGTCGGCCACCTCTACAGATGGAAACAAAAGCAAAATGCACGCAACTCAACCTCTCGTTTGGGCTATTTATTGATACATTGCAGTTCCAAATCACCCTGCTATACTATAAATTCCAGAGGCATTTATAGTAAAAACACCTATAATCATCTTTTAAAAATACAGCAAGCACTTGTAGCAGGCTGTCCAGCCTTACACTTCCTGGAGGTTGCAGAAAAATAGAGTATTCTGCAAATTGAAGTCAACTTCCGGGATTACATGGGTGCGTCTAGGCATTTTTTTTTTCGGTAGCATTCTAGAAATTATTTCCCATTGCCTTCCTTCAGAGTCTTTTTTTGATTTCCCAGTCTAGCCTACATCCTTGGCATTTCCTGAATATCTGTCATCCAAGTATTATCCAGGTTCAGTCCTGCCTAGTTATTTTTTTCTTTTTTTTTAAGATTAGCCATGGTCAACTAGGTGTTGCTATCTCCTGTGGCCAGGGCAGTAGACCTCTCTAAAACTAGGAGTAATAAGTAACATCAATCATATAAAAGAAGAAGTGAATTAGAGCAAGGATACCCTTTGTCTCTGATGCTTGAGGAACTTTGATCTTTTGAATTCTTGAGCAAAGCAATCTGAGCCATGCCTCTTATTTAAATGTGTGGAACACCGCTGTAGAAATTGGTTTGAATTATTTTAATGAAAATTCATCACGTTTGCACTTCCAGCGCAAGTACATAAACAGAAACCAAATTTCAGAATTCACGTTTGTGCAAAATAGCGTGGCATAATTCTCCAATAAAAGTGTGTACAAGAAAGTATATAGAAGGTGCTTCATTGATTCATAAGCACCTTCTTATATATACCTTTTTGTACACCCTTTTATTCAAGTCTTTGGAACACCATTCCACTTGAGATCAGGTCGAGGGGTCAGGAAGTAGTTGAGTTTGTGAGCTGTGTGAATTTGTTCGTTGGTTCACCCTCAATAGCCATCTTTTTTTCTCCCTTTTTTTTTTTTTATTACATTGTTACTGTTTTTTTGTTCTATTGATATTTTTATTGTGTTATCAGCCCAGAGTCACGTTGCAAGATGGGCGGCTCTATACATTTAATAAAATAATAAATAAGGAAGTGCATATTCAAATATGCATACTATTTGACTGTTTAGGGTTGGTTTAATAGTGTACAAAATGCCACATCAGGGAAAGTTGCTTTGAAAGCTGCTTATATGGGGAAAGTTGCTAATACACTGTATTTATTTAGAGCAGTGTTTCTCAACCTTGGCAGCTTGAAGATGTGTGGACTTCAACTCCCAGAATACCCCAGCCAGT